TCAGTTATAATGAAAATACTTTGAAAAATACAAAAAAAAACTCAGAATATGTATTTAGGAACATGTTCCCGGAAAACATTATCCAGGCGACGTTCGAGCGTGTACAGACGAAGTACGTGGCGCATCGGCCACATATTTCAAAAAATGCTTCTGATGACGTCTTTATTATGAAGAAAACGATCAGCCCCACTCGTGGCATGAACATTCTTGGTGAGTTCTGCAATTTAGACTGCACTCAAGCAGTTCCTATGAGGTCTTCTTTGCCCAAAAAGTTCCGTCCGTAATCACAAAAATGTCTTACTTCCACGGGTCCATAATTACTAACGAGGGCGCTGCGGCCATCGTAAGTTCAAGGTCTGGCACGCCCTCAAATGCGGAGCCTACTTACAAACGTCCTCTTTACACTTGTGCGCGGGCGCCCAGTTGTTGTTTGGTGGGACGTTAGGCATAAATCCCAATCGCGTGTCCGTTTTTGCGGTCTGTGCTCTTGTTTATACGCACCAGTTACATACGGTACCTTCGAGTCCCCTTGCCCATCGTCAACGAGATTGTAGCGGTGGTTATAGGTTTCATGTAGCCTTCAAAGTCAGGGTGGATGAGGCCAAGAGATCGAGGATTTTTAACCAAACTACTTTCACTCCCATCCTCGCGGATATCTGCCATTGTACTGCCCCTCCCTGTAACCCACTTATCTTGCAGGTATAATCGTCTTCTGTACGGGTTTTGGCATAGTGATCTCACAACTCGGTGAACGTGCACGAATTGTCGTCGACTTTTTTGTGATTCTCGATGCTGTTATTATGCGATGGGTGGAAACGTTGATGTGGTAGGTGCTGATCGTTGCAGGACCCCTATAGCATGCCTGAAAACCATCGTTTAGGTTCGCTCCACTCGGTATAACTTGTTTGGTTTGCGGTAATTTATTAGAACTTGACGATTTGTCCGATACTGCAAGTGTCCTACTGCTGTGAGTTTATATCTATTGATCGATTATCGATCAGCTATCGAAACAGATTGTAAATCCATTACCGAAAAGTTGGTGCTTCGTGGAATGTGTGAGAAAGGTTACTGGGTCAAAAGATCGCTAAGTGAGGTCATTAGTGGAAAAATCAGGGCTAATAGAGGGGGGCATTTAAAGGACTTCTCAACCTAGAATAGAATTACCGCAATGGACGTAAAGATTCTTGCCATGCATAAAGGAGGGAGCAGTCACGGGGTGGAGAACAAATCTACCTACGGTAAATTTCTTCGAAGGACGCTAACCTCTTTTTCGAATATGGATTCCTTCAAATACCTCCTTCAAGGTTTTAAGTGCCAAAAATCGATATATTGATTTTCAGCTACGTGTTTACGGTAATCGCCGGTCTTATTCTACACACAGTGATTACGTGTCCGATTCTATATTTCTTGATCACAAGAAAGAATCCGATGTTCATCGTACGCGGAATGATGCAGGCGATTGTCACCGCCTTTGGAACGGCTTCAGGGTACGTGATTGCGGACACCAACTCTGACATAACGTCATCTGTAATTTTCAGTGGTGCCGCGCTCCCTATGTCAATGCAATGTATGGAGGACAACTGTCACATAGATCGACGGATATCACGATTCGTGCTCCCTCTCGGATCCACTATCAATATGGTAGGGGTAGAGTGCAGACAGGCAGGAATCTTCTGCGTCTCTGTCCATCTGATCGATAATTTTCTACAGGATGGTAACGCCCTCTACGAAGCTGTTGCTGTGATTTTCATTGCCCAGTTGAACAATGTGGATCTCTCATTCGCAGAAGTTCTTACCGTCAGGTATGGGAGTGTCACCTATTTTGAAGGGATGTTCCTACCGTAATTGTACCTTTTCAGTGTCACCGCTACAGTAGCGTCAATTGGCCTTGGCTCGGTGCCAGCTGGTCTAGTTTCTATACTTCTAATTCTGCACACTGTTGGGCTACCTATTAAGGATGTGTCACTGCTGTTGACTGTTGACTGGCTCTTGTGAGTTATCCTTGGGTTCTTGTTAACAAGTACATTAGTAGTATTGGTCGTTGTTCAGAGATCGGGTACGGACTTCTATCAACGTCCTCGGCGACGGCTTTGCGGCTGGAGTTGTTTCGCATATTTTGCAGGTAAGGTCTAGCGATAGAAATAGAAAATTTCTTCTGGGTGGCAGCCAGAAGTGGTGTCTGAAAATTCATTTTCACTTGCTCCCAAAGGTGGTTGGCGATTCTACCGTGGGAAGGTGGGTGTGACACCGCAGTGGAGGGCGTGGCCCGCGACGCCGCACTCGTGGAGTACAAGCGTGTTGTCACATGGTTCTTCCGAATCGTTAGAGAGATCCATCCCATTTCCACCCTGG